GGTTGCCATGTGCGTTGGATGTCTATTTGGCAAAAGCGTCGTATATGACGCCTCAGGATGAGAATGCGTTGGGTATTCAAATGAAATTGAACAGGCAAAAGTTGAAGAAACTTCAAGAATGAACAAAGTGGTGTCTGAATAAAGGTATTTGAAAAAATAGCACCAACTGAAATGGAAAGTGTGATGTATAGGCTATTTTTTCATCTATATAAATTTACTCAAGCCACAAAATCAAACAGGTTCCTGCAAAATGGACAATACACAATCTCCTAGAATAAAGACAGCAGGCTATATATATTTGTATATTTATATTTAATGGAAAATACTGATCCTGAACAGCTGGAGTCGCAGTTGGACATCGGCGGGGTTTGTCCGGTCATAGAAAATTTGTTGTCATTTTTAAGACGTAGCACTGCATGGCATTTATGAATCATAACCCGCCAAGTTGGCTAGCGTTAACCGTCATGGATTTTCACCCACATTTGGCATAAAATGCATATATCCTATGGCCATACACTACACTGAAATAAAATATTTTTTAAAGTTATAAAATATAGACTATTGGCATGTTTCCATTCCACTCAGAGTGAAAATTGTACATTTCAGGTTATTGCAATCATAAGTATTTTTACATTTATGGATTGACCCCATTCACTTCCATTGTAAATCAGTTTAACCCACATTTTAGCTTGTTGTAAAGAAAAAGGAGGGAGAAGTTGAAATTCATTTGATGGGAATCACTGTACTGAACTCGGAAAATTCCTTTGAAGGTATTGTTACCTAATATTAATTAATATTGTTTTAGGAGATGAACATAGTATGAAAATGATGAAAGAAAGAAGAATTTGTGCTCTGCAGGCCCTGACCAACCAAAAGTCTTGCCCTGCCAACATAAACGGACTCCCTCCTTGAAATCTTCCAATTTGCTAGATAAATCAAGACATGGAGTTGCGTCTGGCTGATCTGCCGCTGGCCTGAAACCGGAGCCGTCCTAGCAGCTGAGGCAGGGCCAGAGGACACACACAGAGCGCTGGGTTCTCAAAGCAAGGCGGTCCTCTGGAATATTTCCCTACCACTTAATCATGCCTCCCTCCAGCTGTAAAAATTGAGAAAAATGTCATCCCCCACTTTTCACTTATCTCGGAGCGAGTGGATAAAAGACGGAGATGACAAATTCCAACATGTGTATGTCAGAAGATATACGAGGTGACGGAAGTATTTGAATACTGGAATGAGCTTAACGGCTCCGACTGCATGGCTCAGCAAGGCTCGTAGAGGTAGAGAGCTTAAACCCACTCTTGGAAGACAGAGCGAAGACTCCATAAAAGGACCCAGGCTTTTTCTTTGCACTTTTCCATGTTGAATTGAATGCATTTTCTTAGTGCTGAATGTCATGCTGTATGAGACTGAATATTCCCCTTATAATATTCACCATATAATGGTTTGTTAAGAAGCACTTGGCTGAGTCTCACTGGCAAACCACATGCCTCTGAAATTATCCAGCTATATAACAGCTGAATTGGGAGCCATTACTCAAACTTCTATTGACTGCATGCATTGATGAAGGACAACGTCTTTGCTGGTTAAACAATACATTCCTGAGTTGTTTAGATTGATCGGCCTTGTTTTTGCAGCGAGGGGAATATTCTGTCTGAGCAATCAAAGTTGGAGTCACAAGTTGATAAATCTTAATTAAGCCTCTTTTTGCTATTGTAAAAGCAGACAAAGGACAGTCTGAGATAATTACATTTGGACCAAAGCACCAAGACGTTTTTATTTGTGCATGATGCGTGGGTGGGATTTTGCTGTTAATGCAGAAAATCAATGAATAAATTGAATAAATAAATGTCTTTTTCTAAAAAATCTGAAAAAAGTGGCATGCAGAAAATAACACATACTCCCTGAAGGTTATCAATTAAAAAAAAAAAAAAAAAAAAAAAACTGTTTCTGAGATGTCAGGTCTATGTGACAACGCTATAGTCTCTTTAAACAAAATAAAAAGGTGCTGCATGTCGCCATCAGATTTTATTATTTTTACTTTTTTTAAAATCTGCTTTTCAGTCTCTTTCTGACTTTGTGCAGTCTTTTTTTGTGCTTTTTCCTAGAGAACAGTCCATATGCCAGAAGCTGCAAGCTTAAGCAGGCAAAAGCCATAAAAAGAATACCAAAAAAGAAGCATTTGTAAAGCTTTCCCTCACTGGAGAGAGTTGAAAGCTTCAAAACAGGTTTTGAACATGCTTTGCTTCTTGACAGGCAAAAATACAGAATTGTAAAAAGCAGGACATGTCTAAATCAGATTGAATTTTAAAGAACAGTTATCTCTTATGACACATTTATGTTAGCTTAAAGTCACAATGAAACAGAAGTATCGACCGATCTTTTCTTCCATATGAGTTAAAACAAGTGTAAGATCATAAAATAAATAAATAAGGGTGGGAAATTGGTTGCATGCATCTGTCCTTGATTAGAATTTTGCACTCAAAAGTGGATGCAAATGAACACAATTTTGAAAGAGCAAAGTTTAAAATCAGAGAGAAAGTCCAATTTTGGTGAAAAAAAGAAAAGGAAACCTGTACGGATTGATTGCTCACAATAAGATATATAACATGCATTTATAAAATCAGTATGGTGAAATTCCATTTCATGCCAATTTTAAACCAAAGGAAAAATTAAGATGCTTTGTATATTAATAGTTGTTACTCTGCATCCAATTGTCACAGAAAGTGTTAACAGCTATATGAACTAACAGTGATATAAGGCAAACCTGTAGTTATTTTTATTGTGGGTGTTATATTTGATTCAATTATCTAAATTTTAGTGAGAAGAATTAAAAAAAAAAAAAAAAAAACACTTTTATTTATCAACCTGCATTTGAGGATGATATTGGTTAGGCTCATCTCTGGTAGATCTTTTAAATGTATCTTGCGTAAAATAGTTCTATATTTAACAAAGCACAAAAGACATGAACCGGAAGCAATGCAACCTGTTTTAAAGAATACAGAAATTTGTTTTGCATAACAACCATTTTAATTTAATCTTAACTTAAGTTCAGTTGCTTCTTTACATTTATAAGTATAATCAAATTGTCTGTAAGTAATTTCAACTTAAATTATTATTATTTTTTTTTTTTTAGTAAAATCTCTTAATATATAAAAAAACTATTTTTAAAATTATTCATAAAATTATTATGAGTAAAAGTTATGTAAAAAAATGGATATGCCCATTTTGTGAATGAAGGATAGTCACAAACACGCATCACAGAACAGAGCAAGGCGAACATTTGTGCTTATAAAATGTAATTTTTTTTTTTTTTTTTTAAATGACCAATTGTTTCGCTAGATAAGACCCTTATTCATTGTCTGGTAACGTTTAAAGCCCTTTGAAGCTTCACTGAAACTGTCATTTGGACCTTGAAGTACATTATATGGAGAAAAAGTTTTATTTTATTTTTTTTAAGTGAACTAATCCTTTAACCTTAGTTGCAGACTAAAATGCATGTTTGAATATAATAAATATGCACACCATAAATGTTTTTTTCTCCCTCCCAGAGGCACCTTTGTTAAAGGGGTGATGAACTGAGAAATCAAATTTTCCTTGAGCTTTTGACATCTAAGACATCATCAAATTAGAAGAATATCCTGTAAGTTTCATAACTGAAAACGTCCTTGTTAGTCCAATAAAAGCTTTTATTGACACCAAGCTCAGCAAACGACTCGTTTTTCAAATTGGGGAACTATGACATCAAAGAGGATAAAACACCACCCCCGCAGAAGAAGAGAGATGATGAGATAAAACATTGTCAATCTGTTCGCTTCATTTCACTGAGGATTGTTTTGTAAAAAAGACTGGATTTGCAGACCGATTAAGATTAAAGAACGGTGCTCTGCCGTCTTTATCGGATCTGACAGGGATGGTGCGACACACAGACTCTGGATCGAACAGTGGGCGAATCATTCCGGTTGCCACTTAACAACATTGGACATTTTCAAAACAATTTCCCCCACGTGCATCGATGGGTGAGTTGAAACTCATTATAATATGCAAAACTGTTATCCACTCACAGCAGTAGGCGTTTACTTCCAAGTCTTCAGTGCGAGACGCCCATAAAAACCAAGCGTTTTTCAGCTAGGCTCAAAACTTGGGTACAAAATAGCCTATTAATTATTCATTTTGAGGTTTTTGAATGCAAAAACCAAGCAAACATCATAAGATGACCTCAGACAACAAAAGTTTAAAAAGCCAGTTCATTACCCCTTTAAGGGTATTTAAATGCCCTAATTTTACTAAGGCCTTCTCCTGGTTTAATCTAAGCCCTGTTACATGTTGTCATTAAATCAATATTATAATTTTTCTTTTACAGCGATTCATATGTTGCAAAAGCCAATAAAATAATAAGTAACATAGTGGTATATAAGTAACAAGTAACAGGAATGTAAGTAACAAAGAGTGATTTGGTATTATATTTGTGTTATCATAAGCCAGGCTAAAAAAGCAATAGGACCATGTACCGGTAACTAGCAGTCCTTGCTCCTTCAAGGGGTACTTGGCCTGAGAAAGCTTGAAGACCCCTTGCTTAGGGGATAGGAAATATCATTAGCTCAGTACAAAATCAATACAAGGTAGAGGAAAGTCCCCGTCATGATATAAAAACAAACGTGTGTAAGTGTATTGAATGAAATGGTTTGAATGGAAAACCTTAATCTGTTTAAATGATGGATGCAGGCCATCACAAACACATCCACAACAGACACATCAAGAAAATAATTAATGAACACAATATTAACCGAACAAATACACAGTCAGTCAATGTGTTTCACAGGTGCTGTGCTTGGCTTTACTGTTCCTTGTCTTAATTCACTGAGTTTTCTTTTCAGTGGATGTTAGTGTGGGAATTTTGGCACTTACAAGGGTTTATGTCATCTAACTAATAATGTCCAGCCATTTTCTGTCAGAAAACTAGGCCAGTCAGATGGTTGTTGTGTCATTTCATTTTTTTTTTCTTTTTTTTTTTCAGTCAAAGACATTTGGCGAGGCAGTTGGCCAGCTCTTTACATTTGAAGTGTTACCATGTGGCTGTGTCTGATTGTTGTGACCCAACAAAACAATCAGACACAGCCACACCAGCTGGATCTGGGGTTGGGGTGTATGGAGCAGTGGATAAGACACATGCCTTTGGTATGAGAGACCCAGGTTCAAATCCACTACGAGACACCAATGTGTCCCTGAGCAAGACACTTAACCCCTAGTTGATCCAGAGGCATGTGACCATATATAGCAAATGTAAGTCGCTTTGAATAAAAGCGTCAGCTAAATGAACAAAAATGTAAATACCATATTGGATGTTCATTGCCACGTTTCTGACAGAACACTTTCCGATTGTCAAGTCAAGTAGAGCACAGAGCAGATAAGAACAATCACACAGCACTTTTTATATTTTTATACACATTTTTATACAAGATCACTGTGTGTTTGTGTGTGTGTGTGTGTGTGTGTGTGTGTGTGTGTGTGCACGCCCTGGAATCTGGAGTGTGAATTTACAAATTTAAATTACCTCATTCTCATCTCTCATTATGCCCATCAGTGCTGGGCTTGCTCATGACTTTTCCATCAGCGCTGCCAAGTCGAGTTAGGAAGAAATCCATGATGACTTCAAGAGATTTCATGCGTGTGTGTTTGTGTGAGAAGGAGAGCTAGACAGTTGGCAGGGGGGCTCTTTATCTCCAGCGAAGCTTGCAGGTAACCAAGTTTCTGCTCAGGTTCATTGAGGGCCTGTCTGCTGGTGACCACAAAGCACAAAGCCTCTTAATATGACAGACAGGAGGTTAGTGGATTTAGTCTTCGCCGAGCAGCGTTTTCAGACAGGTAATTAACGAAACTTGGCACAGCAATTTGACCCGCGCTGTCTTCCTTCTAAAACAGGATGCATGACTACTTACACTTTCATCAGAAGTTCATCTTCTTCCATTTTGGTCGTTCTCATCTTCCTCTTGTCTTCACAGCTGGTTTCAACTCTGGAAATTGGATTACTTTTGCAGGGTTTAGATTCACCTGAAATCAATGCTGTTGAAGAAAATGGTTAAAGAGTTTAAAATAAGAAAAAAAAAAACATCTGATATTATTCACTTTTCATTATTTAAATATGATGTTTTCTGAAAACAGTTTTCATTATGGGAAGACACTTAAAGCAAAAAACGTTTTTTTTTTTTCATGCACAAGTCAGTTTTGAGATTTTTGTATATAAATTGCTATCTATCTATCTATCTATCTATCTATCTATCTATCTATCTATCTATCTATCTATCTATATATATATATATATATATATAGCAATGTGATACTTTGTCAAATATGTTAAGAAAATGAAACAAGAATATTGAACTTGACTTTATCCAATATTCAGATATCTGTCCTGGGGATTTATACAAATGTAGTGCATAAATCTATTTCCCTTCGGTGTCTTTGTCTTAAAGGGGACCCATGCCTCTTTTTATAAAATGTAATATAAGTCTCAGGAGTCCCCAGAATGTGTCTGCAAAGTTTCAGCTCAAAATGTCATTTATTATCCCATGTTGTGCTCATTTATGCGTAAGGCAAAAACATTGTATTCTTTAAATGCATCCCAGAATTGTGCTGTACCTTTACAGCTCTTGCCTGGGATACTCTGCCAAAAACAAACAAAACATCTGTTTAGTTTTGATTATTGTATCGTTGTCATGCTCATTTGACATTGCAGTTTTTTGTCATCGTTAAAGTTTAATATCCGCATGTGTTTTAAAGCCATATCAGTCTTAACTTCTGTTGTATGGATTTCTGTTCACACACACAGAAAGACGGTAAACTAATTTCTCGTTCATTTATCATTCGTATCTTTCATTTAATTCCAAACTTACATTTTCTAGCATTAACACATCATCCTTACGACTCTTCTAAAGCTTTAGCTTTGTGTGAGAAACATCCACCCTAGATTTTCTATGTTCATTAGAACTTAAGCAATGTCAGATTCTGAATCATTCTCTTGAGTCATGTATTTTAATGAATTACAGTAGTTGGTTGTGCTATCATAACTGATCTGCATGAATAGTTTACAAACTGTTCAGCTCAGTGATTCAGTGCAGTCACATAACGACAGACTTGTCCCTCTTTTCTTTCTTTTTTTGTTGAACCTGTCGTTTAGAAATACGTTGTGATCCTTATTAGTTTAATTGGGACATAATGGGGTTTCGGTCCACCCTTTTGTTTTGGCAGTTCTGGGCTTTATGTCGGTTTTGTTTCTTAGCTTGTAGGTTAAAAACAGCTTGCGTTTACAGCTTTCAAATGTTTCCCTGACTTTTTGCAAGCTCATTAAGTTGAAAATGATTCTGGTTATGTAGCGGAGAGCCTCTTTGACTCTAAAATAATTTTAATATGTTTTTATTGCCAAGTGTTTGGAGGGTGCAACATTCTTTAAGAGCAGCAAATGTTTACCATATTGAAGAGCTTTCTGCATGTGTGCACAAGGAAAATATGGCACACATAAACGCTCATTAATGCTGCAGAATCATGGGGCCAAATTTATGTTCTACCTTACCACTATTATGCCGCCCTCTCCATTTTTTTTTTCTCTCCATAACTTCATGCACATGGTTACTGTGATGCAGAAATTGTGTCCCGGTGGGGGGCACACAGATAAATGAGCAGTTGTTTCAGCAATAATTTGCCCTTTTGAGTGAGTGAATACATTCACTATTACCTCCCACCGAGAAGCACTTAATCTTGTCTACCATCACCATGTTTGCATTTAAGCAGCTCTTTATTCATTTTTAATAGCTAAATATATTTAGCCTCACTGAACAAATATATAGTGCATTATTAGAGTAGCCGAAATGAGTTGGACTTTCTCAGAATGCGGTTGTGAATAACTAGCAAGTTGTCACTCCAAAGGCGTCAAATACTGTGAGTGTTTATAGCACTATAATGTGGCCAGTAACTTCAATGCTTTTGATGTAAAATCTTGCTGATGATTTCAATGTTATGATGTATATTGTAAAATGTGAAAGCTTTTAATTCCTATCTTATATTTCCAAAGTAAGCTGAATTATAAAGGTTAAACACATTTTCTTTGCATTTAACACTTGAATCTGAAAAAGAGTGATGAAAAGTTGAGATTGAACTTTCGATTTGAGTTCATGGACATCTATTAGTTTGTAGCTTTAGGGTACTATTTTAATCTTCAATTAAGCTCTTTAGCATACTCATGCAAAACACAAGCATGACTTCGGGGTACATGCAATGTTTTGCTACTGTGCCACCTGGTCAGGAGATATGAAGAATTGATATTTTTGCTTATAATGTCTGACATTTTGATGTCAGACACTCCAATTTTCGTAAAAAAAATTTAATAAGATCAACTTCAGACCATGCCCACCGAAATCTATTCAAGTTGATTCATCAAACTGTTCTCATAACGTGTGAATGAATTTAACAAAGAGCACGTCAAATGGACATAAGGTTATATCTCTGCAACGCTTAAGCCTATTCTTACCAAACTTGGTGTGTGTTATGACAACCACGGCCTGAGATTACCTGCACAGTTTCAGCACAGTACCACCAATTGGTCACAAGATATAAAAATATGTTTTTTGCTTATATATTTTTAACAGTTTGACCAAAATTCGTGAGACCAGTCGCTTTAGATCGGTGCAGCAAGCTTATTATAATGGAACTGGTTCCTTGGGTAAATGCCAAAAACATAGATACCAATTTTGCCATTCTTTAAAAACCTACTTTTTCAATTTCCTATCTGCCACGAAATTCACGAAATTCACGTTTTGGAAAATAATAGATTAAATGTCAATTGAAAAAACCTTTTTCGTACCATCAAGTAATTTAATGGCATAATGCCAAACTGCATCTGAGCCTGTATCTCTGGAAAAACTTGAAATCATCATCATCAAACTTTGTGTGTAATATTCACTCAACACTCACCGCACCAGCACAGAGAGCTAGATTACGATCGTCATTTTCAGGAACATAATCAAACATAAATTGTATCCATTGTTGACGAACAACGTCCGTGGGAAGCCCGAACACAGAAGACCTGACAGCATAACACACTCGACGAGCCGCAGAAATATGGTCATGCCCATATTTTGCATATTCTGGAGGGAGGGTTGATGCAAATGTATGGGTTAGTTACAGATAAAACCCGTTGTAGTCCCATTCGAGTCATTTTTGTAGGCATTAAACTTCCTGATTTTAAAAAGATGATAACTCTGCTTACTTAACTTTTAGTGCTGCAACTTTGCAGATAATATTCATGCACCAACAGCACACTATTAAAAAGAAAAAAAGTGAAATCGCAATCAACCACCCCTTTAAAATCGTCTCCAAATGTACTCATTTTTACGGTTGGTCTTATGCTCCCTGCCTTGATTTTTAGCTCCTCGTTTTGCCTATGTGGTGCGACCCCTTAATTGCTGCTTGCAGCTATGTATATATAATTTATTTATTATTATTTATGTTTTTTAAAAAAAAAATAAGCATCATTGTTCCAAAATAAACATGTAATCTTGGGTACATTTTCTCCAGCAAAATTATCAGGATATCATACGTTTTTGGTTGTTGTAGTAGTAGTAGTAAAAAAAAAAAAAAAAAAAAAATCTTGCCTGTGTTACAGGTAATCCATTGTAGAAAGTGTTAGTTTTACTGGATGTGTAGGGCTCATGCTCAAGCGACACTATTTGAAGCCTTGAGAGCGAGAACAGGTTAGAAGAACTGGTTGGAATCTGACCACAAACAAGTGAACAAGTAACACAAATATGGTCAGCTGCCTTTTTTTTTAAATGTATGAAACAACTGATGAAATGCATTTTCTCGACGTTTAGCACTCAGAACAGCAAGTCCAAATACTGCAAGCTAGCATGCTCCACAACTGTTCAGCGATGATGACAGGGTTCTTTTTTCCCTGTGATATATGCACAAGCACAGTGGCGAGAGCCACCTGTCATGTGTTGCCAGTACTGGGATTGTTATGTCAGCAGTCTCACGCCGGCCCACATCTCACCCTGCAGCACAACCAAATCTGACATGCTGCCTGTGACACAAGTAAAGTCAAAGCAGCAAGTTTTCCATGCCTGCAGGCTTATAATATCGAGCTTTACATTAAAATCTCTGAGCCACAGCATGAGTGTCACTTATGACCCTCAGTGCAGTAAACAAATTAATCACACTGACTGACATGCATGTATACGCATTGTGGAGCATGTTGTGAAATGCTGTCAAAAAAGTTCAGCTGTGAAGTCGCATTGCTATGCATGAGTTTATTTCATATTGATTCGGCTTTTGTGCGTTTTTACCGTTATACCGACAGCGTCCGCTTAAGGCTGTGTAGATTGGACTTGTGATATTTTAATTCATTGGTCGATACATGTTAATGGAACATCATGGTTGCAGTCGTACTCAAGCTCAGTGTGGAGGAGGGCTGTACTTGCTGGAGTCGTTTGAGTTTTTACAGTAAATCAATACTCTAAAAACTGCTTGGGCTTTTAGAATTGAACTCATACTGGGTAAATAGAGAAGATAATGTCATGGATATGTAAACAGGAGAGCAAGACGTAAACTTTACTATTTAGATAGTCTTTATCTTTATTTAAGACAAAAAAATAACGTATCTTTAAGGGGAAAACACCTTGGCACAGAACAGCACCCTGCAAAAGCTATATGCGAACCTTATGGGGTAGATAAGGTACAAAGGTGTTCAACCAGCAAATTTCATTCACTATTTCGATGAACATACATTACGTTTACAAAAAAGGTTGTATTTTCATGACCGTTTGAGAGAAGTTGACACTGATAATTGAATCTGAAACGGAGATCTGTGTTTTCAGTGTGTATTACACACACATATAAAACATAAAGCATTCTAATAATCCAAATAAACCATGCTAGACAGAGGGTGTTCCCCCGTTGCTTGCAAGTTCCTATGCATTGTGCAGTATGTGTCACTGTTACATATCCACACTTTAATGATCCAGACCAGTGTACATAATGTGGTTGTTAAAGCCTTAATCTCAATGTATCATGCTGGCTTTATTTATTTTGAATAACTTTTTCTCAACATTTTATTTAAAACTGTTCAAAACATTATTGTAGTGTTATGCACTGTGGTTGAAACAGACTTGCATCATGGTAAACCTTTCCTTTTTTTGCAGTTTAACAGTTTTACACTGTTAACCTGCAGGAGGACGGTGGCATCCTGAAGCGATAGCTGATTAAAGAGTAAAAATTGTGTCATTATTTACTTACCCTCATGTTGCTCCAAACATGACTTCTTCTGTGGCGTTTTCAGGTTGTTGTTTTTTTTTCCCCCAACCATGATTGAACCCGTCTGACTGAAAAATAACTTCATTTGTGTTCAACAGAAGAAAGTCATGCAGGTTTGAAATAACATGAGGTTGAGTAAATTGACACAATTTTCAGTATGTGAAACATTAGGTGAAGTATTTAAAATGCTTATATATGACATATGACAAGACTATTATATTAATATAATCTCCACATTCTAACAGGCAAAATTTAGCAGAAAGGTCACAAAAATTTACAAACCCTTAGTGAATGGGAGAGCTAATAGCTTAGTTTATGCACTGAGACATTCAAATCCCTTTGCAGGAGCTGAGAGACTCTCTCGATAAACTTGGTTCTCTGCTCTCTCTCTCTCTCTCTCTCTCTCTCTCTCTCTGCCTCCACAAAATAACCCTTGCCCTGCTTGTTCGGTTGATCAGCCCGACAATGTCTTTTCTCAATCATCTCTTTTCAAACTCCTCCTGGGAGATTGACCCTCAGGTTAGCATCACATTTCGGCCTCTGAGGGCACCTGAAGAACAGAGAGATGACCTGGCCAGACACAGTTCCACATGCCTGTGCTTATTCAAATACAATATTGTGCAAGATTTATTATGTGCATGATCGACAGACTTCCGTTTTCATGGTGAAAGGTGAGGACTGTTTTGCTCGTTATGCTGAAAATGAAGTTCTTTGTGTTGGAGAAATGCTTTTTGCAGAACCATGCTCCTATAATCATATTAAAATGAGGTCTTTAGAAGAAGGGGATTAATAATATTTATCTATCCGCATGCCATTATGCAGTACTAATAAAATTAGACAAAGCCCTTCTCAAAAATGTGAATGTGGTTTTAGGTGTGAGTGCTCATAAAATGAGGAATGGTATTTGTCATTCAGTTTTATCCCAGCCTTGCAGGTGGGTATTTCTCTCAGACAGTGTTTGTACTTATGAATAATGGATCTTTGAGAGGTGACAGATTAAGTATCAGCATGTATTCATTATTTAACAGGCACATGAAAGGACTTTGATAACCTCCACACAGGCAGCCATTTCTCCTCTCTTTTTGAAATGTCTGTGGCTGTGAATCAGCGATATACAAACCTGTTTGTCCCCACAGACTGCTTTGGGCTGCAGTGTTGTATATTTCCCCACTGCAGGTTATGTTTTAGGATTGATTGGTGCCCATAAAAGTTAAGTTAATTTAGAGGAGGGAGAACTTCTCTGGTTGAGTATTTTTACTCAAGGAAAACCTTGTGTTTGTTCTTCTGTTGTGGTTAGAAAATCTGAAAACGCTCCAGCGCAAACTGAAGATGTAACATTCTCCGCGATGATTTCCTCTTGGGATTTACGACCACGTATCCAAACATTCCAAAAACCTGCTCATTGCCAAATTTGACATTTGATCACAGGTTACACACAGACAGATATATGATGTTTGTTCAGAGGATTATGGGATATGAGCCCCTTTACGGTTTTACTGGCTCAGAAATGAAACTTTGCTTGCGTTGAGAAGTCATATTGTTGGTTCTGCTCTCAAATGTTGACATTGGCTCCCTAAACATGATGATGCTGATAATGATAACATTAATGATCATTAATCCTGCTTATGATTAAGTAGATTTGGTTGGTGCAAAGGTGATCCTGTCACGCTGATTAATATCTTGGGGAGTTTAATCGAAACTGTTCCAGAATCACCGCGCTTTCCTCTGAAAATTCCTCTTTTGTTTCAGGCAAAAAACGTGTCTTATTCAAATGGTGAAGCAGCTGTCTGTGCTCTGTTAAGACAGCTTAATTCATAAGCACGAGCCATAATAGACCCCCTAAATTCTGTCTGTTTTGTCACAGATCATTTGTCATGAAATGAGTGGGCGAGGATTAGAAATATCATTGTGCACATTCCGTGACATTAGCCAAATGGATAATGAACGATTAAATTTTCATTATTCCACAACACTAAATAATGTTTGCCCTGTTTGAGGTCAATGGGGTTCCTTGCAGCAAACAAGGACACTGCGTCTCATTTATGATGTCCGATTGGATGGAATCTCAAATGTGAGGTTGAATATCCATCCCTCATCTGCCCAAACTAACACAAAAGTTATGCGAGTATAATGTTAACTAACTGTACCTATTTCTCAGCTTAGCTGTTTATCATTATGTACAGTACAGATGTCACAAGCTAACATCTATCCTAATGTTTTGTTTGGGATCCCTCTGGCCACGACTTTTCCTAATCTTATGAGAACTGCTAATACATTTGTCATTACACATTAGAAAATATTCTCCTTTAAAATGTTATATGACTTAAGTTTGTTTAGTGTTTGGTGGTGACTCTTATATACATGCAATGTACACTCACCTAAAGGATTATTAGGAACCCCATTCTAATACTGTGTTTGACCCCCTTTCGCCTTCAGAACTGCCTTATTTCTATGTGGCATTGATTTAACAAGGTGCTGAAAGCATTCTTTAGAAATGTTGGCCCATATTGATAGCATCTTGCAGTTGATGGAGATTTGTGGCATGCACATCCAGGGTACGAAGCTCCCGTTCCACCACATCCCAAAGATGCTCTATTGGGTTGAGATCTGGTGACTGTGGGGGCAATTTTAGTACAGCTAACTCATTGTCATGTTCAATTTGAAACAATTTGAGCTTTGTGACATGGTGCAGTATCCTGCTGGA